TATATTAGTCAGTTGCAGCTGCGTTGGCATACTTCCAAAAAAATTTAACTTAAAACAATATTTTTTCTCTTTTTAAGCGGGAATCGAACTAACAACCATTTGCTTTATAACGTGATCATATTCTATTCGTAGCGTGTAGGAGGTATTTCTTTGTATGCTTTATGATTCGATGGAAAATTTAGAGAATGGAAACTACAAGATGATTTGGATAATGTCTGTAATTAAAACATCAATTAAACAAAACCAACTAGAGTGGTGCACAAAACGGTTTTAGCAACGTTAAAAAATTATCCGACAATTTCAAACATCTAAGGGCCAATGAAAAAATTTTACCTACTTCATGGCTGAATATCTCAGTCTAGTTGTACAAGAAGATACGTTGGTAACTACCAAAAAGGAGGTAGCAGAATTTTAATTTTAGGCGAGGCAACCTTGCATATTCCCGCTCTGACAAAATAATACTTATCATGTTATTTCTACCAGAAAGTTCGAATTTATGTTAAACATTTTGGTGCTTCTCGCAAATTATAAATATCTCCTCAACTGACCTCATTTCGGTAACAAATAGTAGGCACAAAGTGTTGATACGTACCATCAAAGACTGAGTTGTAAAAGTCATAGGTCAGATAGTACCTACCATTCGACGTATCACATTTATGGGTTGGCAATTAAACTGGTTATAATTACCATTCGTTGACGTTAATTAATGCTTGTTTTGTCTTTGATATGAAAAACAAATAAATAAGTAGGTACATTCCTTTCCTTCAGCACCTAAATAAACCTCCAAACAATTATGTAGGTCGGTACGGTAATCATTGTGTCTTAAACTAGGTATAACTTGTACATAGTTATAGTTGTTGCAATTCACGAAGACGAGTGAGCTTTACATGTGTGGTGGCTCGCTACTGATCGTTTTTCAAAGTTTTGATAGACATTACACTATCGTTATGTACATGTACACGTACACACTTATGTAAAGCTCACTCGCCTTCGTGAGTTGCAAGAACTATACACACTGCGACAGCCTGTACTGATGTAATATCAGCAATTTTGCAAGAAAATGTATTTATTAGATTTTATTTTTGTCCCTCGCAATTTCCGAACCCGCCACCACAGCTAGCGCCCACTATTGGAGCCACTAACTTATGCTGCAGTCAATGTTAATCTCCAAGAACTGAAAGGCACTACTTACGACACTACTTGAAAACTGAAGAACGTTTTCATTCCCCCACTGTGCAACTCAAGAACGCGGGCTTAAATACCGCCGAGCCTTATCAGGGTAATCACAGACTAAACACATTCGGTTCAGTTAAGTCAATTAATTGAATAATTAAATACACTCGTAGTACTGGTTGTTTATAGGCCACGGGTTATCCTTGGCCTCCGCCCTTTGAATAAATGAAATACTTCGCTCTGCGTTCGCCACGACAGGCTTTTGTTACTCTTGTTGCCTATTTTTTAATTTTTAATGGAACCACCAACCCCGTTGTGATGCTATCTCGTTATTTATAACGATACTTTCGTCAAATATCGTGTTTGCCTCGAGCTTGCAGAGCGCATTGTGTATTTTTTGTTTGTGTCTCTGGTGAAATTTATTGTGCACTTAATAATTACCATGGTGGTTTTAAAAGTTTCAACCAGCAATGTAATGACATACCTGATTAGTGTTTCGGTTGTTTATACAAATTAGTATTTAATTTGACCAAGGTTTTGAGGGCTCATTTAAAACTTCTATGAATAATTCTGGCGGAGCTTAATAGCGGGCTGCTGAAGGAATAGTAATGTAAAGGACTTATAAATAGTCTGAATTCTCTGCTAATTAGCTTCATAATTAATTTCAGATGACCTTCAACTTAGTTGAATGACCTAGCCTCGTGGTTAGGGTTATTGATAGCAGATAGTTTAGTCAAATTTGCTTAGACTGAATTAGCTAAGCATAATTTTCTTTTGAACTGACTACCTTTTCAAGCCACAGCTTTTGCTATGGAAAAACAGTGCTGATCTTTATACGCTGCCTAACTTTTTCCTGCGGCTAAACATAAACTTATAATAATTGTCATTTGTTTTAATAATAATCTTCATGTATAAACAAGACACACAGAAGTATTTATCTCTGTTTTGTTTATCAAACCAGTTATAGCAGTTACTTGACCTCAGTGGAAGGATGTATTTTATACCAACACATAAAGTGTACATTGTGAAGTGTGAACATTTCACAAATAGACCGAGAGAGACAATAATATGGCGCAGCAAGAGCGGCTGCCAAGATNGACTATACACCATTAGTTGAATATTAAATAACTTGCAAAAAAAATTTAACCTCTAACCAAATAAGTTCTTAGTAAAATTGTTAAAGTTTTTACCTGTTTGAGTAACATTTTCACCCGTCTTAACAAAATCCGTCATAACTGTTTTTTTTAGTGTTTCCTATTTCAAATTTTAAATCTACTGTACATTGATCTCGGAGCCATCTACTTAGTAAATTCAAATCTAACTAGAGTGATTCAAAATCAGCACCTGACAATATTTTTCTTAAAGTGGGCAATCACTACCAGTGGGCAATCACTCTCTGGTTTACCCTACTAATCACAAAACGACACACATTTTTAACCTATTCCATTCATAAAGTATTTTGTTTGTCTAACTAAATAAAAAAATACAATCACAAAACTAGATAGAAATTCTAAGTAGGCAGATGTAATTAAACAGGGCAGCCCTGCCGCATGTTGTCATACTGTGACGTACCGCGCGACTGTTGACATTTATTTCAAAAATATGGCTGAGTTGGAATCCTAACTAATATTATAAATGCGAAAGTAAGTCTGTCTGTCTGTCTGTCTGTCTGTCTGTCTGTCTGTCTGTTACGCTTTCCCGCTTAAACCTCGCAACCGATTTTGATGAAATTTGGCATAGAGATAGTTTGAGTCCCGGGAAAGAACATAGGATAGTTTTTATCCCGGTTTTTGAAACAGGGACGCGCGCGATAAAGTTTTTCTGTGACAGACAAAATTCCACGCGGGCGAAGCCGCGGGCGGAAAGCTAGTACTGTATAGATAGTATTACCGTGTTACAGGTANAAAAATTGACAATATGTATTACCTCCTCCTCGATTTTTTAGTGCAATAAAAAAAATATCGCACAAGTGGACTTGCATACTTCTTCCAGGGGGGGTGCGATATTATGTACAATAGTAATAGCAGCCAGTTCAACGTAACACTTGATTTGTGATTTATGTTCATAGAGGAAATTGGCCACCATTTTTATATATTTCGTGCCGCGTTTGAGTGGTGAGGAATGTGGAAAATTAGTGAGAGATAGCCAACATCTTTTACAAATATTATTTTGCTGTTAGAATGTATATTACAAATGAGGATACTACCTAAAAATACTCCGACATTGGAGACTCTATGGAGATGATAAGAACAAGTAATCCCCTTATCGAGTCTTGGTAAAAAGATGGCAACTAAACTAACAGTTCTTAAAATTATTTGGTCAAAAGAAAATCTGTAATCGATCCTAGATAAACTCTATTAATAATTATTCTGCGATGCCGCACACTGTTATTATGTCCATACTTAATAATATAAGGAAGCAATTTGATTCTCGTGGGAAAATAAGTAATCGAGCAGCTGGCCACTGAAAACATTTTAAAGAAGAATCTGGATATCGTAAAAATACAAGAACTTCGATTGGCACTTTTAAAAAGCGACTGGGCTCTCTTATTTTTTCCTTACAAACCCATCGCCGAAAAGTTGGATAGTTTTACATCAGGGACCCTTCGATAAAGTGTCATAATTTACGTGAAATATTATTCTTGTAGTAAGGGGAACATATTCCGCTATCTTATTTGTGGGTTTCGAATAGGTCGTAGCTTTTGTGGCGGTAAATTATGCACCGGAACCTGTTGATAACGAAGTAGGCTTTTCATGTGTGCCCGCCATTTGTCAACTCGCAGCAATTATTTATTTTTTAAACGTCATCGGCCATGTTGTTTCATAGTGTAACCCTACATAAATAATAGCACAAAAATAAATGATCGCAATATGTATTAAAATTTGTATTTTTCATGTTTTTATAGGTTACCTTCTAACCAAAGATATTAAGTGTGGCAGAGCCGAGAAAATAAAGCTAAATGTTGGTTACGCAACCCCAGAACAAATGAACAGGAAACGTCAGTCTGAGACACCTTCCCGATTGGCACAAGATAGGGACGAAATTCACGGAATTGATGACGTGCTTTCTTCGATAAACAAAAAATCACTGGAAGATATAAAAAGAAGCTTGATAACATTGTCAACTTACGTATTGAATTTAAAAAGCGTTGAAACGGGAATAGAAAAGTTAAAAACAGAAACGACATTATCACAGAAATAAAAAGAAATCGAACAATACCCACAAACAAATAGTTTACAAAACAACTAATATAATATTCGGAATCGAGTCCGCCGCTTGCCGTATGAAGTGAGCCAAAATGAGAACCATCGGGAGAAACTTTTCTCTTTGCGAGAAAGTTTGTGATGTGAACAGAACCCGGGGTCTCCCTCGGGACTTCGCGCATGCATGTTTAATGACGTCCTAGAAAGGTCAAGAGTCTGACTGTAGAGGTAGTGAATACATTATACGATCCCAAGCGGGTACGTTCTCGGCGGTAGGCGTGCCGTGACAGCCTCTTTTCAAACTTCGAGGAACTAACACGCCGCGGACAGGTAGTTTGTAGCTGTCTCTCAAACAAATTAATTGTGTCTTAGTTTTGAGCTGTAACGAGGGAGCAACTCAAACAAACTTTTGAGGAAGGTACGAGGGAACGCGGCGCCTCCAAGTGTTATGTCGTGAATTAGCAAAATTTTAACGCCGAGACTGTCAGTCAGCGTGAGTATTGGCAAATGTTTTCGGACTTAAAGTATTTTCCAATTTCAAGTTTGAACAAGATAAAAAGTACACAGTTTTCAGGTCTAAACGGAATTATGTAAGCTAGAAAATTTATGATCTTTAAGTCTTACCTTTGGGTGGATTTATATGTAGCGCACTCCTGAACAGGCTTTCTTCGTCACGCCAGTCAAGGTTCCGCCGCATCGTGTAGCAGCACATCGATGACAAGACGATGAGTAGGGTCAGCATAAACAGCCGACTTCGAGGCTCGCTGCGGTGCCAACTCCGGGTCAGCGCACCAGCTCCCAGACCGAGTAATAAACAGAACCCCACGCTGGGTATGTACAACACACGCTCCGCAACCACAAACCCGACGTAAAATAAGACATTAGTAGCAGGCACGAACGGTAACACCATAAATGCCACAGACATAAGCAACGCAACTTGCGGGCTGCGGTAAACGGTCCTCGGAGGATTAGGCGCTTTTGACTTCGTGCTTGCCATCGGGCAAACGCAGGTTGAACTGTGCATCATTGTATTGTTGTTGTTTACGGCTCGGCAAGCGCTCGTGTGCTCCTCCGTCAGAGTGTGCTTACAGCCCGTGCACGGACACAATATCTTCTTAGATGACATATTCTCTTTGTGCGGGGCATGGTAGCTCTTCCTTTCAACGCAATCTGGCCCTCTGTTGTACTGCTTTGTGTTGTAATTCCATTTATGCCTGACTTTGCAGTTTTGTTTCTTATAGTACTTTTGGTCTTTTAGGGGCTTTTCTTGGCTTTTTTTGAATTCGTTAATCATAGCTCGCCAGGTGACTTTGGAAACGACAGCGTAGAAAAGGACAGTGGATATGTTTCGTGGGTCGGATATGCTTGTGATTCGAGGGATGGATTCCATGGACCAGTCAAAGCTGAGTTGGAATGGGTAGAGGAGTAGGAAGAAATTGAAGACTGGGAGGTAGGAGAAGGTATATAGTCGTGTGAGGTAGGAAGGGTCACGAGAGGCGGGGTTGTCTGCGGCGGCGAACGGGGTTGGCGTGCCAGCGACGCGCAACCGCCAGTAGAGGAGGGCGAAGCCCCCTGTTCCAAGAGCACATATGCTTCGCCATCGACTCTGAAACAAATAAAACATCCAAGTTATTGACAGTACCAATAAAGGCAAAACAACTCGTATGGTAAAGTTTTTTGGGAAGGGTCCCTTGGGGCATTACAAACAGAGAATTTAGTGGTCGATTCCTGGACATACGAGTACCTTTGTTTGTATTGGGAAATTATGCTCTCACAATTTTGTTTAACGTGTTGAACTCTAATGGACGTACCTATATAGCAATTTTAGCATACATACATAATGTTCTTAATTGTTCAAATACAAATTACTCTGAGTTGCACCATCTTACTATAACTTTGACAAACGTCAAAAATCTGTCAAACTCCATACAAAAAGCAAAAGGTTATTGTTATGGTTAAAATCAGGTGGTGTAACTCAACCCTAAAGAGTTTATATTCGGTCTTTTGTCTGTCTTACAAACAACTTGTAGAACAGATTTGTCATATTATTGTATCTAATTGTAACCCGGTTTGTAAATCACATGAAATACAGCAACGATTACTGTTTGAAGATAAATTTCTTGGAATGTGAAAGGCGCTCTCACTCAACCAACTCTCTTTATTAGTTCAAGAATAAATGATTCCCGTTCCCAGTTTGAACTAGCGCTAATTTTAATCCACTGGAGGCAGCTCGATAAAATTGATTTATAAGGGAGCAAGTCGCGGCAAGACGTCCCTTTAGATTATTAAATTACCACTGGCACCGTAGCAACCCTCTTTCTACATGATTAATATGGTAATGCTATCGGGTAGGTATTTTAATCTACTCAAAGTGGTGTTATTATGAAAGTTTTTAGGGGTATTTACAGAGATAGGCGTGTGGTAGTCGAGAGTAAGCTTCGGATTGTTAGTAAAACGTACGTTAAACAGCCGAACCATTTTGATTGAAAAGTCAACTAAAAACCTCATATTCCCTTGTATTTCATTAACACATGGGGCAATCAGTAATTAAAACTACGCAAATAATACTAGTGCTACATAGAACCAATATCTCCGAGCTCAGATCAGATTTAGTCCGTATGACCCTGATGTATTACGAGGAAGGTAATTGAAGAATTTTATTTCAATTTTGTTTTATGGTAGGTATTAATTTGTAACCTTAATTTGCAAAGGGCTGGCTGTTCAAGTCTGGTTGTGTTCATTGTGAGTTTCAGCTTGTTAGTGGTGGGTAGCGCGAGGAAAAGATTTATGTCGGTGGCGGCGTCCCCACCGACCTGCCCAGGGGGTTTACTTCGCAAAACTGATTCGATATATCGACTCTATACATCTATTTCCTTGACGTTTGCATCACAGTAAGAGCGCTTGATAGTTCAACTGTTACAGGTTAGGCCAAGGATAGTAAGAAGAAATAGGCTACAAGCCCGCGACACGTATCACCGGTGCAAAACTGCCTAAGAATTAGAAAATCAACGCCATTAAATGCGCTGCTAGCAAAAAAGCTCTCTAATGACGCGTTTGTTGACAGTATGGCTTAATATACATATAAATAGGAGATATAGGTACGGGGTGAGAATTGAACTTGAAAATAATGAAGGTTTTTAGGCCATAATCGATCAATGTTAGACGCTGTGAATCACTAGTTTCCTGATTAGCACATATTTTCCCTATGGAACTACTACCTCCAAAGTCCAAACTGGGTCATCATGCGGAATTGAAGGTACTAGTGACGCGTGGCTGTCCACATGGTTCGGTGTTAAGTCCTTATCTTTGGGATTTGGATTTTGACGACTTCCTTTCATTAACACTGCCGGATGTTCATTAACAGGATATGCGGATGACGGACAAGAGATAATAATAGAAGACACAAGATGAGAACTTGAAATTTTAGAATTGTCTTTCATTTCCAAAAGGCCTAAGTGAAACCACTTATAATTTGCGCCTCATAAAATTCATCAGCCTCATTAAGGCGATTTTAAGGTCTTGCTTTGAGTACAATTCAACGGTAGATATAAATATTTCAAAGAAATGTTATGTTTGTGAAACCCTTTTCAAGAATTCGGAGAATAACCTTTAGGATAATTTCAAGCATTAACGCGTATTTATTTATACATCAGCACTTCCCATGTTAATTAAGAACATTAGAATACGAATAATAATAATCAGTTCCTTGAAAACTGAACAAAATTAGATGTATCTACGTAGTTAATTGGGTAAATGATAAAAGAAACATTTTGTGCTGACAGCAGCTCAAATTAGTTCTTGCTATGCCTATCACCTATTGTATGTATCCATCTCACATCGGCTTCTTGATAAACGAATGGTTTACTTCAAAGAATATGAAGGAATGTTGTTCTGATGGATGTTTCTGAAACATTAGTCCCAACGGCCATCGATCCACCAAAACTTTGGCATGCTTTTACTGTATTCATTTGGCTACACGAAGTGAGTTCCAGCTTGCAACTCGTGGGAGGTGTGAGGAAAAGATTTATGTTGGTATCCGACCTGCCCTAGGGAGGCGCTGCTAACGACATACTAGCCCACGCTAGCTCAGGTTACATGGATTTGCCTGAATTAGCATGGATTTCTGTACAACTTTGCCCGTGGCTTCGCTAGCGTGAAATTTAGTTTGTCACAGATCGTTATAAATTATAACGTTTAAGTTATTCTTATAAAGTAAACAATAATGCTTGCAACTCGTGGGAGGTGTGAGGAAAAGATTTATGTTGGTATCCGACCTGCCCTAGGGAGGCGCTGCTAACGACATACTAGCCCACGCTAGCTCAGGTTACATGGATTTGCCTGAATTAGCATGGATTTCTGTAGAACTTTGCCCGCGGCTTCGCTAGCGTGAAATTTAGTTTGTCACAGATCGTTATAAATTATAGCCTTTTGCTTATATTCCTATATGTTATTCTGGTGTATAAACAATAATACTGTAAAATTTTATCATATTCCGTCCGTTCTTTCGCGTTTATAATTACCATGGATATTATGTAGAATGATCTGTGGTAGGCACTATGTGAAATACTATTTGTTAGATTACAAAATATCAGCATTTCCGCGCAATAAAAAGGCAGATAGCATTCTGATAGAAGCGTTTCCCAGAATTTGATCTATTAATTTAGCTTTTCAAAAGTACATAACAGCAAAATGCTGCAATATTTTCCACATCACAGTATGGAATAATCCGCCGCTAGCAATCGATCAACATGGAAAGCATTGGGGGAGGCCTATGTTCAGCAGTGGACGTCCTATGGCTGAAATGATGATGATGATGATGATGATGATGATGATGAGTATGGAATAATACCGTATCATTAAGAATAAAATTAAGTAATTAACGTAACTTAAAATACAATAAATAACAGAGATTCAATAATAACAGTTAACCTTATATTATTAAGCTACTACTAGCTGGCGCTATGAGTGAAATAGTCCAAAGATTTATTATTATTATTAAGTATGACTATTTTATTACAATATTGATAGTCACGATGCTGTATAGTCCAATAATTAAGTAAAACAGACTCTGTATTGACTGAATGTACATAAGTTTCGATTTGCAACTATGGTAATGTGAGCAAAACATCCATCGAAGCAACCAACGGAGCCGACTACTCCAGAAAGTTTTACGGTAGCACACAAACCAATACGAATACCTGAGGGAAACTGTGAACGGTGTATCGATGAGTTTACCTATCTCATAGTTACTACTTAATTACGTTTTAAGGCAGGTCTACAAAACAGATTCGTTTTAATCTAATTATGATATATTGAACCAGCCTTATATTCTACCAAGGGAATGATAGGACTAAATGCTTATTAGCAAAAAAATTTGACTGGTGAAATACTTAGGTGACGTAAGTATGAACAGACGATAGCACGTCTAGCTAAACATTAGGCATCTTATGTAGCTGAATTAGGGATGGTTTTGCAACAAAAATAGGTGGTGGTGGTGCTGATGTGCTGTTGACTGTACATTATAGGTACAGATCCCAGAAACTAAAGGGAGATGTGACAAATGGGCGGGGCCGGTGTCGCAGCAATATGCCCAAAACAGAACACATTGCTCGTAACAGCAATGATGACAGCAGAAACGTCATAATGTAGGTAAACAGTATACATTGCTTGTGTAGTACTAAAGATTGTTCGAACGTTGAGTACTAATACCGCAGTGGATAATGAGCACATATTTTGATTACTTTGTGTGTTTGAATTTCTAATGCGACACTGAGTTTCAAACTCAGCGCATTAGTTGGTATCTCTCTATATTGTAAATAACTTATTGCTCGTAATATAGCCAGATATTATCTTTAATCCAGCTGGACAATGATCTGGCCACTGACCTTGGTCCCTTTGACCTTAATCCGTCGAATATCTTCATCGCCACGTGGCCCACCCAAACTTCTAGGTCACTAATTTGTTAGGACGTGTTCCTGGTAATTGGTCCTTCGCTCATCGTAGCTTGAATCGTTTTTGATGTTAGCCAAGTATTGAGGTTGGTAGGTGCAATTTATTTCTACACGTGATAGCACATGTTTTCGAGAAAATGTCAGAATCAGTTTTCAAGGTTCATGACATTATAGATGGGCACGGGGTAAAAGTCATTCAGAATACTTATTCATGTTCAAGGAATAATTACTTACAATTTCAAAAATATTGTGATTTGGTAGTGATAGGGTTAGGTTAAGCTGTTGTTTTGATATAGCCATAGGTATAGGGATAGACGCCTACGTCCATAAAATATAAGCCCACAAGTACTTAAAATGCTTTAAGTGTGATCAAGAGCCAGCTTTAAACAATACTAGCGACCCGCGCCGGCTTCGCACGGATGCAATGATACATTAAAAACCTTCTTCTTGAATCACTCTAATCTATTACTGAAAACTGCATAAAAACAGACAGTGGAAGCTACTTACTTCTTAATGAAACACATTTCAGTCTTAACTGAAAGCAACTAAACATTGGTTCAAATGCAAACAGCCAGTCAATCGCCTCACCAGGCGAACCTGGAGCTAAGGTTAACGCTAGATTAATCAGGGGCGGCAGGTGCATGAATAAAATAAA